ATCAAAAAATTCTTTTTTTAAATATTATTTTCGGAACATGAATTAACTAAAAAAAATAAAAAAAAATAAAAAAAAATAAAAAAATGCGTCTCACGGTCTCACAAAATATAAGTGGTCTCAAATAAACCTAACCCTATCTATATATATATATATATATATATATATATATATATATATATATATATATATATATATATATATATATATATATATATATATAACACTGACAATTAACCAAAAATAAAAAAATCGACAATGACAAGATTCCCACTCCAAACCTCCAAATCAAAAACCAAACATCTTAACCACCAAGCTAGGGCCCATTTGATATTTTCTTATCACTTGTCTATGTAAATAGAATCCTTTATTATAATTTAGATAATAAGATTTATTATTATTATTATTATTATTATTATTATTATTAACGTAAATAATTAAAACTTTATACTTATAAAAAGTAATTTATTTGATTTTATATGTATTTTTGTAATAATATTAATAATAATGAATAATAAGTTCGAAACTTGTTGTCCTCTAACTTTATAAATTTATTGTTCTTGTTATATTGATATATGTAAACGAAATCAGCCAACTGCAAGTTCATCTTGGAGGTCGCTTCTTACCTTCTTTTTCTTCCATTGCGTTTTATTTATTTTCATTTCAACTTAGTATGCTGATGTGATATACCATGTTAGTTGCCAAATCACTCATCCTTCCACCTTGGCACTTGATATCAACATTTGACCTGCTGAAAAGGTTATAAAGGACTAAATTGTAAACATTAGCTATTTTTCTAGGTTTTTTAATTAAAAAAAATTATGAGTTTTTTGAAACTTTTTCCAAAACTTTTGGACTTTTCTATAGATTTTTCTATTTGAATAATCTCAATTTTTAAATAAATCATGAATATTATTATATAATTTTTTTGTCTTAATTTCAATGTTGATATCATATCATTAGAGATCGAGAATTTTTTATTTTGATATGTTTTTATAAACAAGTATTATAAAATTAACATATATCTAATTATTAAAATGTCAATGATTGGTTTTTATAATTCTCAATTTGTTATGATTTTGTTTGCATTTTCCTTATATACTCCACACGACCATTCTCGATTAGCGATTTGTATCCACTCTTTCAAACTTGTCTATTGACACAAGCCCCTTTGAAATTCTAGGAACATTCAACACATCATGAAAGGTAACTCTGTGACCATTCCTAAAATTAAATTGCATTGTGCCAATGTTGCAAACCCTAGCTCTATGACCATCAATGCATACATTACCTTAAGTCTGGACGTCTTACGAACCTCATGCCACCAATGCCCACATAAGAGATGAAACCATGTTAAGGCCTCCAAGACTCATATTTTCTATCAAATAAGTAATCTCATCCTCTTGTGCACAATGACATTTATCTCCGCAAACGTGATGTTTTTTTTGGTTCTGTTTGGTTGGTTATTGTTACTAATGGTTGAGCTTCTAGAACTTCCTTTTCTCAGGTGCCAAACCTTTCGTTTTCTTGAACCCATCCTCATATTTTAGTTAGAATGTGACAACCGTTAAATTCTGGTCAAGTCAAAGTCAGCCAAAGTCAACGGGTCAAATCGATAAACTCAATTCGTGCTTGTATGATAGGGTTTATTCTATGTTTACTAATGTACAACTCTCTATGACAATACAAAGTGTCACTCAGAAGTTTCAAATGTTCAGAAATTCTAAACCTAACCAGGGTGAGTGATGTAACGACTCTATAAAGCACGATTAAGTACCCTTCGGGGGTGTAAAACAATCATAACAAGGCATAATGGGGTTTACGAACCTTGCATTATGTGGCCAAACACAAACAAATGCGACAAACAAAGTCTCTCTCAATCTCTCCCACTTTGTCTTTATCTCTCCCAAATCTCTCTCAATAAAAATACTTTGTCCAATGTTTATCTGAACATCCGTACCATCCCGAACCTTCCCTTGGTCGAGAACAACTCAAAACAGAAGAAGGAAACCATAAGGGTCAAGGAAGGTTTGCATGGCACAATTCACCTCCGAACATTCGCAGGCCATGCAGGTCCCAGAAGATGCTTACATAGGACTCATCTCGCAGCCGGACACATTCGCTACCAATCGGACATGTTCGCACCGAACCGCCCATCTTTGCATGTGAACCCGAAGAGATTCGCACTAAGTACAACCTCGCAGCCTCCATCTAATGTTCGCATCCGAATCGCAGCCTTCGTTGCGAACCTTCTCGGATCTTCAACCCTCACTTCACTACGAACCCCTCTCTTGCAACCCCCCTCGCACCTTCACCTCTCCCTCCCGGTTTTTGACCACTTTCGCATTTTAAGCTTGTTTTTGATGATTTTGACGTGAGATTTTCATATAATTCGTATTTTTGACATATTAAACCCCTAGACTCATATTTTATCCCTATTTTACTAATGTACAACTCTCTATGACAATACAAAGTATCACTCGAAAGTTTCAAATGTTCAGAAATTCTAAACCTAACCAGGGTGAGTGATGTAACGACTCTATAAAGTACGATTAAATACCCTTTGGGGGTGTAAAACACTCATAACAAGGCATAATGGGGTTTACGAACCTTGCATTATGGGGCCAAACACAAACAAATGCGACAAACAAAGTCTCACTCAATCTCTCTCAATAAAAATCACTTTGTCCAATGTTTATCTAAACATCCGTACCATCCCGAACCTTCCCTTGGTCGAGAACAACTCAAAACAGAAGAAGGAAACCATAAGGGTCAAGGAAGGTTTGCAGGGCACAATTCACCTTCGAACATTTGCAGGCCTTGCAGGTCCCAAAAGATGCTTACATAGGACTCCTCTCGCAGCCAGACACATTCGCTACCAATCGGACAGGTTCACACCTTAGGAACCGCCAATCTTTGCATGCAAACCCGAAGAGATTCACACTTAGTACAACCTCGCAGCCTCTATCTAATGTTCGCATCCGAATCGCAGCCTTCACTGCGAACCTTCTCGGATCTTCAGCCCTCCATTCACTACGAATCCCTCTCTTGCAACCCCCCTCGCACCTTCGCCTCTCCCTCCCGGTTTTTGGCCACTTTCGCATTTTAAGCCTGTTTTTAATAATTTTGACGTGAGATTTTCATATAATTCGTATTTTTGACATATTAAACCCCTAGACTCATATTTTATCCCTATTTTGGGGAAATTATTATTATTATAAATAATATAGTTTGCTCAAATAGTGTCTAAAGGTACTCTTTGACTTTTTCAAAAAGTTATGATACCAAGTCAATCCCCACATCAACTCTATATCACTATTCACAACTTACCTAGTCAAATCATTGTCTTTTTTCTACTCTCCCCAACATTCCACCAGATTTTCCTTCATCAAATCAACATAAGAATTCTATATTCTTCACATTTCCAAAAATCTCATTTGCCTTTATCCAAAGGCAAACATTCTCTCTCTCACACACTCTCTCTTTCTTTCTTTCTCTCTCTCTCTCTCTCTCTCTCTCTCTCTCTCTTTCTCTCTTCTTCTTCTTCTTCTTCTTCTTCTTCTTCTTTTTGGAACTTCAAATTGCCAGGAAGTCTCAAGCTCTTCCCCATATTCTTAGTAAGTTCTTCATCCTACTTCTAAAATATTTTGCACTTTTTCATACAAATCGTGGATTTCTTACACATATATCGTCATATTTGTTCTTAGGATCTTCAAATCCTTAAGCATTGTTCAAGTGTTATACTTGAAAACCCATTTTCTTCAACCATCCACCTCAGATAATCACTCAAGGTGAGTTCATACCCCCATCTTTTCATGTTTTCTTCTAGTTTTAATGGGGAAAATACAAGTTACAACACCAAAACATACTCTAACTCAAATAACAACTTTCAACAGAAAAGTTATGATCTAATCACGAACTGTTTTGACCACCTTAAAATTAATATTTTTCAAAACTGTTCAATATGAAAATAGTTCAGGTTTATAACGTTCTAATGAATACTTTCACATGTTCATACAAATTTTCTACAATTTATGGCGATTTTTACAAAACTATCTATCATTTCAGAAATGATTTCGGACTAGTCTGTGAAGATGGCCCTTCTCAAATTGGTTGGAGACCACTAAAAATCATAATAAAAATTATGAACAAACTAGACATATTTTGAGAACTTCCAGAGTTTACGAATTCAATTTTCGACTTCCGGTGATTTTTCTGTGATTTTTACAAAAGCAATGACAGAAAAGTTAAAACTAGTAAAAACACTTTACAAGTTTATTAACACTTTGTAACATGTTGAGAAAAGTGTATCACATTTATAACTAAATATTGATTGTGTTTCCTGTTAAGTTTACTTTCATGAAACTGACATAAACATTCATCATAAGGGTTTTCATTTACTAGAAACATATATGATAAACTATAATAGGTATAGTTTACAATTCGTTACACTACAAACTCATTATGAAAAGATTCGTTTACACTACGAAAAGGGTTTTCACTCACTACAAACATACATGATAAACTATAGTAGGTAGAGTTTATGGTACATTAACACTACGAACTACTAAGGAAGGTTTCATTCCGACTTCAAAAAGGATTTTCAATTACACTACACATAAACTCATTAAATCCGGTTTTGAGGCACTACTTCATTGTACTGTTAGAGTACTGATTACAATCCTATAGTTATAACTAGAGTATCTTGTAGGGAGACCGTGATACTTGTATATAGATCTATATTGGGATTGACAACCCACACCTTAGCTGCATGCAATAGCTAGACCGACATGTCTGGGGTGACAAATGTCATACCATTCCGACGCCTGAAGAACGTCGTAACAGGTTACTATGTCAATAGTATGGTTATAATAACTCACATAGGGAAATAACAACACACATGGTTTATGGGGGATTGTATATTTAAATGGGTTTTATTTATTTAAAACTGCACACACTATTATAAGTATGGAAAAATAGTTGTACATTTCAGTCTTTGGGTCTTAAGACTGCAATTCATTTTATAAAGAAAATATTGGATTATTCTTGTGCATACACTACATTTACAATATAAATATAATTACCTGCCCGCAATTCCAGCTATTATTGTGACTTTCTACATCTTTGTTGTCTACACCATTTGCAAGGTAATGTTTGTCACTATGCATAACTAAGTCAGCCAGTGTAAAGCCATCATGTGCACATATGAAGTATATACTATTCCATGGTTTTCTACCACCTTCCTGATGCATACATATAACATGAAAAAGTGATTAAAAAATAACAAAATCCAATAAGAATTATAAAAAGAAGATAATAAACAGATTAGGGTACCTGGTATAGATTAGGGCTCCCACAAAGCCATTCAGCAAAAACACCAGAAAATCCATCTGTACCCTTAATGAACTGCCTTACTGTATCCCGATACTAAAATAATTACATTCTTTTTTATAGGCTAATAAGTATTATAAATTATTGAAAAGAAATAACACTTATTTAAGAAAATAAATGAGCCAAAAAAATAGACCTTTCCATTCCATTCTGACCAAATACCCTAGTGAGGAAACACACCAACTTGGTAAAGGCCTCCACAGTCCCATGCTTCAGCTATAAGCTGGAAAGGATAATTGCTATTTATTTAAAAAGTTAAAATTAATAATTTAAAAGATAAGTTTAATTGATAATCAATTTAATTACCTTCACTCCTCGAAGTATTAGGTCATTGCTAATCATGTCAATTAATGGTGGGTTGGTGAGAGATGAGCCAGTTGTCAGTAAATCATCTTCTACTTAATTTCCATATACATTTACTGCATCAAAAATGCTGAAATAAAAAAGATAAAAAAAGTACAAATGCATGTTTTTTTTCCAAATATTGTTAAGATAAGAATTAGAATATCAAATATTTGGTAGACTAGATAACTGATAACCTGCTGCCTCTTGTCATGATAGAGGCAAGATCAAACCGTAATCCATCTACATTCATCTCTGTTACCCAATATCTGTAGGAAGGTTTCATAAAACAAAACTTAATTGACCAAGAATCAGGAACACATGTATGATTGTAAATTAAAATTTTGGTCCCTGAGTTTAGCACTCTTTTTCAGTTTTGGTCCTTAAAGGGATCTGTTAGCATTTTTGGTCCTTATTTTGATGTTCATAATGAATTTGGGCTTGACTATGAACCCCATTCAATTTGAATTTATAATTGTATCTTTACTGCTTGTTGTCAAGATATAACGTTGTTAGCAATGTAACATATATTTTAAAATAGCAAGATATATTAACATATAAATAATTCAAAATTGCTATATTAACAAATTAATTTAATACACAATATAGACCAAGAACTTTTATAAATCATATGCACAAATAAAATGTTATAAACCTTACTATAAAGTATAAACTAACAAAAAACTACAAATTTGCAGTTTTGGTCCACGGGCAAGATGGTCAGTTGAAAAAATATCAACAATTGGGTGTTAGATTAAATGCTCCAGATATCAAAATCATTATGAAACAATAAAATAAGGGAATGTCTTCCAAAGAAATTGCTTTAGGGGCCAAAACTAAGTAAGTGCTAAACTCATGGAGCAAAATTGTAATTCACTCTTAAAATAAAAACAGATTACATGGGATAGGTAAGTAGCAACTTATATACCTCAAGGAATCTACTATGAATTGGCGCACTATAGGATGGTTGCAGTTGAAGGTGTTTCCACATCCTGAATAGTTGTAGAACTCTCCTTACAAGATCATAAAATAAATGGTACCTTAAAGAGAGAAAATGACCATCATACCCCTTCAACTTCATGAGTGAAAAAGAAGTGCATCAATGCTGCTATTAGCCTGTTACTATACCTTAGGTGCAAGCATATAAAAAACACTATTATCAACACCCTGAAAAGACAAAATGGGACCATTTTCATTCCCTTCAGTAGTGTGATTGAAAATCACATCCATGAGCACATGTAAAGATGTGAATTAGAAAAAGGAGTTGTCAAAATTAGGGAAATAATTTAAATCTCACCTCGATTCCACGTTTGTGTGCCTCTTTAATAAGTTGTTTGAACTCATTTATTGCATCAAGGCCACCATTACGACCACCAACAGATGCATATCTCAACTTAGGTGAGAAGTAATTGATAGTTGAATACCCCCAATAATTTAACCTATATAAGAATTTGACAATCCATAGGATGAATTAATACTTTTAAAACAACATTTCTAAGCAAAGTAGATCTCATAAAGCACATAATACACTAAAGAAGGAAGGCAGAACTTGAAATACTTGTAGTAACCCAAGACAGGATTGTAGCTGAAGTACTCCAGCTCATTGAACTCATGGCATGGCATTAACTCTATGCAGTTCACACCAAGTTCCTATACCATAAAGAATAACATTAACAACACTAACTAGTATTGACCTTTCATGTTGCTGAAAGGAAAAACAAATGATAGTAATTAAAAATGAACACAAAGAAACTAAAAAAACATTAACAAGCAAATCCTTAGGGAAAACGAATGAATTTACCAACACAACACTTTTGATAAACGAATGACTTTACCAATTCTCCCTGTAAGAAGTGTTTCTCTTGAGTAGCCATCTTTTTTCTTCTGTTAAATGTAAAATAGTTGCTTTAGTCTGAGGAAATCAGCACAACACTTTTTTTTTTAAAAAAAAACTGACCGCGGTAATATTTGACTCGTGTCCTTTGACGAACAAATATTTTTGCATTATAAAATCCAAATTGTACATTTCATGTTAGAACAAGGAATGGTGTGTTGTTTCGGATGAGAGTTCATATCTACAAATTTGGAATAGATGAGACGAATTCACAACTCCAACTTGTGCTCGCCCTCGAGTTTCAAGCATCTTCATAAGAAATAAGACAGTTAGGGTTTAAGTGTGTATGTGAGAGAGGGAAAGAAAAAGAGATGAAGGATGTGAGATTGATGTGCCTTATAAACTTAAGGACGATTAGGGGGTAGGGGTTTGTTTTGAAATCACAATGGCTTTTGAGGGTTTTTCACATCATCGGAGACAGAGAAGAAAGCAACTCAGTTTCTTATTCAAAAACTTGAAATTTTCTTCGAGGATTGTATGTATCTTATGCGTTGAGAACACGAGAGTGGCAGAAGATCGAGTGAATTTCCTTACCCACTCTTCCTTATTCATAGTCCTTTCGAGAAGAGTGATATATACCTTTTAATCCAACATAAAACCATATTTCTGGTAGTGGTGGCTGCTAGGGTTTCAGAGAGAAGGGAGATAGATAATGAAAGTCGTCGATTGTTGGAGCGGAGAGAATGAACAAGTCTTCAAAAAATTTGGGGATTTTGTTTCCCGCCGGCCCCTTAGTTATTAAGGAGGGAGCGCGTAATAACATTTTATAAAGCAACATATATGCACAACACCCATTTAATTTAGGTGCCCTCCGTGTTTGTAGTTTTTTTTGTTGGACACAAATTTTAGGGCGCGCATAAACGCGCATCCTCTATCCTTCAAAATTAGGAAATTCGACATCCTTTTTAGGCCGCACAAAAAATGTGTATTGTAAATCATCGAGTGTCATTGTTTGCAAATCATTAAAAGACTGTTTTCTAGTAGTGGAAAGAGCATTATGTTGTTACAATGAGATTCCAATGAAAATATTTTTGTATTTTTTGTATTTATCAAAGTAAAAACAAATTTAAGAAAATCTTTTTGGATTTTTGTTTTTTAGGAAAAGCGCAAACAAAAATAAGAAAATCTTTTTGGATTTTTGATTTTTAGAAAAACCAAAAACAAAAATAAGAAAATATTTTTGGATTTTGATGCTTTAGAAACAATAAAGACAAAAATAAGAAAATCTTTTTGGATTTTTTATTTTTAGAAAGCAAGATAAAAACAAAAATAAAAGAACTTAAAACGTTACCTAGATACATTCGATCCAAAATCTAACAGTCTTCAAGAATAGATTGTGCGTCGAAAGACTTCCACTTGTTGTGAATTTGAATGTTGTACTGAACGATTCAGAAGTAAGTTGAATGCAAAGGCAGTCGGACGCTTAACATGAACAATAACCTCTAAACAAAACACAAACAATCAAAGCTGAATAAAACACACAAAAATTATACCTACTAATCGAAAGTAATAAAAACAATTAAAAGTAAGGTAAAACATAAGTCCAAGTCATATTTAAGAAGAATGAGGAATAGAGAATGCTTCCATCATTCCCAATTCATTCAAAATCCTTAAGAATGAATTTCCATCTAAAAGTTTTGTGAAAATGTTAGCAAGCTGATATGTTGTTTTGATAAAATGAAATTCAATGTCCCCATCTTCAACATGGTCTTTGATAAAATGATAACAAAGAGCAATATGTTTTGTTTTCGAATGTTGGACTAGATTGTGAAAAATGTGAATTGCACTTTGAGAATCACAATATAAAGGTAGTTTCTTCATGTTGAATGCATAATCACGCAATTGGCTTTAAATCCAAATCAGTTGTGATGTGCAATCAACATTAGCTATATATTTTGCCTCAACTGTTGAAATAGAAACACAAGTTTGCTTTTTTGATTGCCAACTTACAAGTTTCCCGTCCAGAAATTGACATCCACCCAGGTCCACATCAAAAAATGCTTGGAAAAAAGTATTGTATTCGAAGGATACCACAATCTTAATGAAATTGTACCTTTGAGGTATCGAAAGATATTCTTGACTGCAGTAAGATGGGGGTCTCCATGATTCGATTGGTACCTAGCACAATTCCATACAACAAAGATAATATTAGGTTGGATTGCAGTTAAATACAAAAGCAAACCAATCGTACTCCTATACGTCATGAGATCCACAACAGGAATGAAGGACTTAAGTGTGTGCGAACAACCATTGGTACTTTGACTTTCGTGTTATCCATCATGCCAAACCTTTCAAGCAAGTTTCAAGTATATTTATCTTGATTGATAAAGATTCCTTCCCTGATTTAATGAATATTTAAACCCAAAAAGTTATTAATTTTACCCATCATGCTCATTTCAAATAGACTTTTCATTAATTCCTCAAATTCCTTAGACATTGAAGGATCAGTCGAACCAAAGACAATGTCATCGACATAAATTTGAACAAGCATCAAATGATCCCAAACTTTCTTTCAAATTAAATTAGGATTAATGGATCATTGTTTAAATTTAGCGACTTTCAAAAAAAATTTGAGAGTTACATACCAGGCATGCGGTGTTTGTTTCAACCCATATACTATTTTGTCTAATATATAATAGTGATCAGGATATTTATCATTAAAGAAACCTAGTGATTGTTCTAGATACACCGTGTCTTCGATAACACCATTAAGGAATTTATATTTGACATCCATCTGGTAGATGTCGAAATCCTTGTGAGCTGCATAAGTTAGAAAATTTGTACCACCTCGAGTCTTGCGATAGGGGCAAAAGTTTCCTCACGGTCAATACTTTCTTATTAAGAATAATCTTTTACAATAAGTATCACCTTGTTTCTAACAATATTTCCTTCTTTGTCTATTTTATTCTTAAAAATCCATTTCAGAAAAATTATCGAAACATCTTCAGGTTAAGGAACCAATCTCCAAACCTTATTCGTTCAAATTCAGCAAGTTCAGATTGCATAGCAACAACCCAATCAGGATGTTCAAATTTAGTCTTCACTATTTTTAGTTCTAATTTCAAAATAAAAATATTAAACATACACAATTTTTGATGAACATTCAACACCTCATTTTTGGCTTGAATCTAGGCTCGTGTCAAGACACGAGAGTTTGGATCACCAAGAATCTTTTCTTTCGGATGATTTCTTTTCCATTTGTCCCTCGGGATATCTGCAGGATCAAAGTCTAAAGGAGCATCCTCAAATATGTATTCAACATCTAAAAATTCTCCTATAATAGAGATATTAATAGTTACATCATGAAAATCATTTTTCATCATTACCTTCATCATGATTTGATCTGCTTGTCTCCCCCTTGACCAATGGAATTATGGTGTGATGATCCCCCTCGACACCAAGATAATTACGAATATGCCCATTATCATGAGCATCAATTGTCATATGCCCCCCTCCACATAAAAATTTTGTCTTTGGGTTTGAGTCGAAGATATCAAGTGATTCGCCTCCACTTGACCATCAGTTGAAACATATACTCTTTCGATATTTACTCTTGAAGTCGATGAAGAATATGCTTTGTTTTCTTCAATTGTGGCTGTCAAATCATTAGAATGTTTCGATACTTCTAGGATACAATTATCTTTAACATTGATTTCAGCATTGATAGCCCTCTGGAATGCCAAGAATTATATCAAGATCAATATCAAAATTATGCATTTGCTCAGATTCAATATTTGGTTCAATAATAATTGGTTTTTAAATGAATGATTGTTCAACTCTCTTGCCATAATGATCAACAAATGTGAGATTAAAAGTTTCTTCTAGCTTCCTTGCTTGCTTGTTTAACACCTTATAGGCTACAAAATGTTAAGAATATCCCATGAAAATTCCCTCATCAGCTTTCGACTGAAATCTAGAAAGATTATCCTTGAGATTCATGATGAAACATTTGCATCTTAAATATGGAAAAATTTAACATTATGTTTCCTTTTTTTTTTTTTGTAATTTCCTAAGGTGTTCTGTTAAAATGATGATGAATGAAAGAACGATTTTGCGTAAAGAAAGCAGTCGAAACCGTCTCTACCCAAAAGTATTGGGGCAAGTTCGCATAAGTGGGCTTCGTTCTCGCCGCTTCACACAATGAATGATTCCTCCTTTCGATAAACCATTTTTTTGTGGTGTGTATGGGAACGGAAAATTATGAGAGATGCCCAGTTTAGTAAAAAATGAATCTAAAATTCAATTTTTGAACATCGTTCCATTATCACTCTTTATCTTTCGAACTTTCCTTTTTAAGCTCAATTTAATGTTCTTGATAAAATCAATCATCACTTGAGCAGTTTCTGACTTCTTTCGAAGAAATAAAACCCAAGCAAACCTTGAAAAATCATCAACAATAACTAGTATGTACTTTTTCTTATTGAGAGACTCAACAGTCGAAGGTCCACACAAGTCAATATGAAGAAGTTCTAAAGGTTCAATGATTTTTGAATCAATTATGATCGGATGACCCTGGCGATGTTGTTTTCCCTATTCACATGCAACACCTAACGAATCATTATCAAATTTCAAAATAGTTAAACCACGAACAAGATCATTAACAATAAGTTTGTTTAGATTTTTGAAGTTGAGATGAGAAAGACGTCTATGCAATAACCAGATGAGATCCGAAGATGCTTTTAATAGGAAACACATTAAGGAAATGCCCATAATGGGTTTCATGTAAAGA